GGGGGCGCCGGGGTTGGGGGGCGCGAGGGCAGCGCTGCATCAGGTTGGGCAGAGCACTGCAAAGAGAGAGGTCGTGGGTGGGCACCCGCGCGCGCGAGAGTGCACCAGGGTGGGACGGGGTTGCACGGGGGCGTGCGATGGTGCCCGAGCGAGCACGGGGATGCACGATGATGCATGAGGACGCATGAGGATGCACAAGCGTGCACGGGGATGCACAAGTATGCATGACGATGCATGAGCGTGCACAGGGATGCACGATGATGCACGAGTGTGCACAGAGATGCACGAATGTGCATGGGGATGCACGATGATGCATGAGTGTGCACAGGGATGCATGAGGATGCACGATGATGCAGCACGGGGATGCATGAGCATGCACAAGGATGCACGATGATGTAGGAGTGTGCACAGGGATGCATGAGGATCCATGATGATGCACGAGCGTGCACAGGGATGTATGAGGATGCACAATGATGCACGAGCACACACCATGATACACGAGGGTGCACAATGATGCACAGGCTTGGACTGGGCTGCACAAGAGTGCACAGGCATGCACTAGGATACACAAGGGTGTGCAAGGGTGCACAATGATGCACAAGCCTGCATGGGGGTTGCATGAGGATCCACGAGTGTGCACAGGGGGTGTGCAAAGGTGCATGAGCGTGCACACATGCGCATGCAGAAAGGATGCATGAGCATGCATGAGCGCACAAGGATGCACAAGCACACGAGTACTGCATGAGGCTGCCCAGTGGCTGCAAATGGGATGCACAGAGGATGCAGGAGGAACATGGGAGGGATGCACGAGGAATGCACAAGATTGGTGCATGACGGGTGCACGAGGGATGCACAAGGATGCAGGGGGATGCACAAGAGCTGTGTGGGAGATGCACAGGGATGCCCAGGAGATGCACGGAGGATGAATGGGGATGCATGAGGGATGCAGAGGAGGGCTGCACGGTGGTGCATGAGGGGTGAAGAGGGGTGCACAGGGGTTCGTGAGGCTGCATGAAGGAAGCAGACGGGCCACGTAACGGTGCAAGGAGGCTGCGCAGTGATCTACGAAGGTGTGTGAGGATGCACGAGGCCTGCACAAAGGATGCACAGGAGATGTACCCGGGATTCACAGAGGATGCATGAAGGATGCATCAGAGATGCGCAAGAGGTGTATGAAGGCTGCATGAGCAATGCACACAAGATGCAAGGGGGATGCACAGGAGATGTACCCGGGATTCACAGAGGATGCATGAAGGATGCAAGGGAGATGCATGAGGATGCAAGGGAGATGCACGAGGATGCACGGGAGATGCATGGAGGATGCAAGGGAGATGCACGAGGATGCACGGGAGATGCATGGAGGATGCAAGGGAGATGCACGAGGATGCACGGGAGATGCATGGAGGATGCAAGGGAGATGCACGAGGATGCACGGGAGATGCATGGAGGATGCAAGGGAGATGCACGAGGATGCACGGGAGATGCATGGAGGATGCAAGGGAGATGCACGAGGATGCACGGGAGATGCATGAAGGATGCAAAGGAGATGCACAAGGATGCACGGGAGATGCATGGAGGATGCAAGGGAGATGCATGAGGATGCAAGGGAGATGCACGAGGATGCACGGGAGATGCACGAAGGATGCAAGGGAGATGCACGAGGATGCACAGGAGATGCACGAAGGATGCAAGGGAGATGCACAAGGATGCAGAAGGGCTCCACGGTGGACGCAGAGAGGCACAAGGGCTGTGCAGGAGCTGCACGAAGACTGCACGGGGGATGCATGAGGGGAGCGGATACCTTTGAGGATGTAGTCCGTGAGCAGTGTGGGCACCTTCTCGTTCCCCTCCTTCATGGCAAACAGGACTGCGAGGGGGAACGGAGCCGTGAGGCCCCCCCTGCC